ATATATAAACTTAAAATAAAGTTTGGGCAACCTAGAAAGGTTAAAAGAGAGGAACCTTGACAGGTTATTGACTCAGCTACGATGCTCGTTTAATACTAAATTAAATTTATTATAGATATTTATCTATGATATTTCAAAATTTCTCTTTGAACTGTTCTCGGTCGTTTCATTTACCAACGAATTTCGCCATTCATTTTTTAATGTTCATTTTCGGCATGATAAGAGGTAAAGAGTGAAAACCAATATTTCTATGCATTTTTTATAACTTTGAAATTTATTTGAATATACACATTTGTTAGCGCATTACGTCCATACAAATATTTAGGGTTCGGTTGGATGGAAGACCTTGCTGCCCCGCCTGTTTGTCAAGAACGGTTTGTGAGGGGCGGCAACTTTTTCCCCACCACCGAGCAATCCATTCATTTTCGCTGACTGCAGTATCAGCTGGAACGATGATCATGACCCGCGCGGCTACGCGAAATCTGTAACATCGACAGAGGCGATGATCACGAAATCCTACTCCCGGACTCGCCGCTACGATTTAGCGCCATGCTTTTGGTATCGCCTAAAACCGGAGCGTTGTGCATCTCCCCACTCATCTCTGGTTAAATATTTCCTGATTGACACCCCTGTTTAAAGGTATAAAGGACAGAAAGTAAATAAGGTCGTACCAGAATAAGTGATACATATTTCTAAATAGATGTATATGCATGGTAAATAACGCAACAATCTGATAAGCATGAGATTATGCTCAACAATTATCTCTATATTCTTCACACATCTGGCATATCTCTATGAAGAGGAAGCCATAAGGAACAGAACAAGAAAATTCTTTATACATATTGTCTTTAGAGAGTAATACATCCAAAGTAGATACTATAATTGTCCAAAATAAGAAACCAATTCTTAACTAAATATAGTGAGTACAGGTCTTCAATGTGTTTTTCTAATAGATCGAAAACAATTAAGTTTTTAACAAGCCATTATTTTATTATTCTAGTTTAAGATATATTTCTATCAGTTTATAAAAGGTTACATGTGATTTGCTGAGGAGTGCACTGTCTGCGAATTATCAAAAAAACGTTGAACTCATAGACTAATTATAAACATATAAACTTAAACATATATTTTCTTTAGTTCAGAAATTTTTGTATACTCTGATGCAACTTGTTTAGAATTATTTTTAGTACTATTTCAAGAGATATTAGTAATTAGCATTTGAAGTATAAAGAAATATATATATACAAGCTGGCTCTTGACTTTCAACCTTAATGTAATATTTAGAAATAGAAGAAACTTTGATTTTTAGATATGGACCAAGTTGGAGAGACTGTGCAAAATCAAAACTTAAAGGGATTTAATCTTTTCTTGGTGATTACTGAATTAGTTGGCGCATTACTAATCCTTCTGGTAATAATATGGACATGGTACTTTCGTGGTGGTTTTGCATGGACATCGGATAGTGGTCTTCAATTTAACTGGCATCCCTTATTAATGACGATTGGACTTGTTTTTCTATATGCAAATGGTACCTCCAATTTAATATGAACACATTTGTTCAGTTTTAATGTTTTCACATATTAATTCTAATTTGTTCTAGCTATGTTGATATATAGGACACAAAGAAATGTCTGTAAGAGACGCCTAAAGCTTCTTCACGCTGGGATAATGACAGTTATTCTGATACTGACTACTTTAGCTCTAATTGCTGTTTTTGACAGTCATAATTATGCTAAGCCTATTCCAATTCCTAATATGTATTCGCTGCACAGTTGGATTGGTTTATCTAGTGTGATCTTATTCAGCTGTCAGGTAAGAAATCTTGTTATAAAATTTTGGGAATCCTCTATTTAATTTGACGTTACAGTTGGTTACAGGATGTATATCCTATTTGTATCCTGGATTACAAACACATTTCCGCTCAGCTTATATGCCTATTCACATATATTTTGGAGCAGCTGGATTTGTTGGAGTAATTGCAGCTTGCTTAATTGGTCTCAATGAAAAAGCAATATTTAGTATAAGGTAAATGATAATACAAAGGAAACACTGGTAAAGAAAGCTAGTCTTATGAAGCTTTGTGTATATCAGCTACTGCACGCAGTATCAGTCAAAGATCTCCAGGAACCAGTATGTAAAATCTCAAAAAGGTTGAAGTGCCATTAATTTTATTTTAGATAAAATATGCAGAGATTGATTCTCATTACCAATGTCTCTTTGGTAGTAATAATAAATATTACTTTAAATAATTAGAATTTATATAAATTCATTTTCTTAAATTGCAGTGAATATAAACAACTTCCAGTTGAAGGTGTACTTGTTAATGTCATTGGATTACTCTTTATGCTCTTTGGTGGACTTTCTGTGTACCTGGTTTCTCAGAATCGTTACAAGCGACTTCCGAAACCAGAAGATGAGGTTCTATTATCTGGTAGAAACGAGTAAATCGTTTCATGTAACACGTTTTCGTATTTATATTGCTATACACTAGACTTATCAGCACCTTTGTGGTCTCTATTGAAATTCCTTTCTGATGCTTTAGTACCCACACAGCATTTGATATCCATAGGATATCCTAATTTGGCTGTCAGTATCCACAGGATATCTAGAAGATATTCTCAATATCTAAATTGATATCTATAAGATATCCAAAGTTCTCACTTGTGGATATTCTGTGGATATTCTGTAATCTCTGTGGAAATCCATACATTTTTGAAATACATGTATCAGAAACGATAATGCATCTTAAATATGAAATTAATAGATGGCAAGGTCATTAAGTAGTTTGTTCTGCATTGACATATCTTTAGAAGAATGGAAATCGTATCAAAAGAACCTTACTTTCCAGTTAAACATCTTGTACATCAAGTTTTACATCGTCATATGAAAGTTTCACTATTCGTTGGCACTAGCGGAATATTATCGGATTGACCAATAGTATAGCTTTGTGAGGTCCTTAATTGGTTACTCTCTGACCATTTATCCTTTCTTATTTCGTGTTCCTCCGAGTGCCATGGAGCAGCGTGTGTATGAACTGATTGATCTTATATTGTTATTAATATGCTTACTGAAGTAATTTTTGTAGGAGGTGGCCATAGTCTAGTCGTTAAGGTAGCGGATTCACCACCGAATGGTTCGGGGTTCCCAACCAGCTCCCAAAAAAAAATATGACACTTCTAATGTTTTTGTGAGTATTATATTAATTTTTTATTCATAAAACGCAAACTTCGTATTATAATAAGGCTCAATAATTTTTCTATGCCAACAAAAAATCCTTAAATAACCAATAGTGGGAACTTTGGATATCCAGTGGATATTCACTTTGGATATCTTACGAATATAAAATGCTGTGTGGGATTGTTATAAATTGATTTCTTAATTTTCAAATGAATTTCTGAAGGTAGCGTGTAGTGTAATATACAAAATCTATTGACTTTCATAACAGGAACAAATTCGTGAGAATCTTTTTAAGCGCTGAGGAAATACTAATAAAGATAGCCAGCTTTTGTGTATTTTATGTCCAAAAAAAAATATGCAGCATATCGTCCGTGTGTATGCTCGTTTCATCGACTATAATATCATCGACTGATTTTTGTCATCAGCAAACCGAATTTATTATTAAATGAAATTTAATAACCGCAATCATGATTCAATTACAGAATACACCATTACTTGTTGTCAATCACGTCGTAAATGTAAGAATTATGATTGATTGAAACTGTACACGAAAGCTTTTGTATATAAAATTCAAGTACGATATTATGATCTATCTTCACTTCTATTTTCCACTTTCTACATCTTCTTTCGTTTTGTGTATAACTATGTTTATTCGTTCATAGGGGAGATGTCTGTGGAAGCGCATCTTAAAAAATTTATGACCGTATTCATAGTCGTTCCGTGAGGAATAAGGATCCCTTGTACCTCGTTTCGCGTTTCATAGACCTTCATTGACAGAACAAGGACCCTTATTGACCTCCTTATTTCAAGGGAGGGCTCGAGCTTCCTTGAGGATACCTTCTAGACTGTGATTGACTATTTCGTTTGATATGTCTAGCGCCACAAACGGCACGAATTAGCAGCTAGCCCAGCCCAGACAGCAAAGATGTATCTTATCAGTTATTGAAATTGTCGGATGGTTTTAATCATAAATTTTCTTTCCAGGTGTTGACTTTACGGAGTCCAGGTAAAATTAGGAAAAAAAGACAGTGCGTATTTCTTTTACGTTTCGACCATCATTAAGGTCATCTTCAAAAACGTTTTATTACTAGGTAAACATGTATCAACTGTTGAACATTGATTGGTTAGATTCTGTAAAAAATAGTAGGCCAAACCTAAAGCCATAGTTAATAGATCAGCTATGTCTCTTTTTAACTTTTAACTAATCCTGCCTTTACATGTAACACACAAATTCTTGTTGGTTCGGCCTATTATTTTTTACACAATTTAACCAATGATTGTTTATCAGTTCATACATGTTTACTTAGTAATAAAACATTTCTGAAGATGATCCCAATGAGGGTCGAAACTTAAAAGAAATACGCATTGTCGTTTTTTCTTAATTTTACCTGGGCTGCGTAAAATCAACACCTGGAAAGAAAATTTAAGGTGTATCTTTACTTGGTTTATAGTATAGACTACGCGATCCACATTTCAAACTAATTGAAAAAATTGTCGGTCGAATAGACAAAGAGGGACTGAGGTGGCGGCCAGTCCTGCCACTATAGGCAATTACATTTCCCTAAAATATATTTTCGTTCTGGAAGAGAGAGCTAAGGTGTGACTATGAAACAAGGACGCCTTGAAGTTGAAGGAAGCCTTCATCAAGGCCTCCGTTACCCTTAACCTGTTAACTGGAGAACTCCCTTTTGAATTACGCACCATACAACGGGCGCGAACTCTTTCACTAGGACGTGTCAGTATGTCACGCCGGAGGACGTAATTTCATATTATTTTTTTTATTTATGCTTAAAATAAATGAAAAGACTATGAAATATATATTTTTTCGTTTATTTATATATAAAGTACAAAGGAAAATACAAAATTACAAACAAATAGAAAAGAATACAAAAAAATGGAAACATCGAATTAAAAAATTATAAATTTTACAAACAATTATATTCATGTCGAGATATGTATGGTTGACTAATGCCTTTGTTGTTCGAAAGTATACGTCCCGCCCATTCCAGGGCGCAACATATTGTTACGATCGCTCTCCAAATACGCAGAATATGGTTAAGTTCTTACGTTCAATATTCAAGAGGTTTCGTGAATGCTGATTTAGAAAAAGGTAGTTAGGATGGTTCGTTGGTCAGACTTGCCGGTGCTAAACGGTACGTCCACGCGTTATGTCAATTGTTTCAGCAGATAAGATTTGGTAGGAATAGGAAATAGATTCCAGAGGATACCTTGGTCGATACGAGGATGATTGTTCTTTGAGTCTGATATGATATCCTGATTAACGAAACTAGAACGAATTTTAACTGAATGAATTGTTTGATTCTTTGCTCGGGTATTCTTATTCGTTTTATGTAAGTTAGATATTCTGGGTATGAATGAATTATTGTGTGTACCTGATTATGTGTGATTGCACTCATAGGCTTACCCAATGATTTCCAGGGAACTCAACAGTTTCCTTTTATTGCTTTCCTTGGAAGTATGAAGATTCAATGAGGTGGTTTGGATGGACCCTCAGTCCAGATGAGATTGTAGTCAGGGTTTTGTAAATGATAGTGATGATGATGGTTCACGAAATTCGCAGATTAGAGTCACCAGGTATGCTTTACTTTTGGATAACTTCGAAGAATTGAATTGAAGAGAATATAAGTTCTTAGAACTCTAGACTTCGACTCTAACTTTGACTTTGCACTTCTTTTACAAGACTTCTGATGTACTTCACAACTTCACACTTCTACCGCTGAACAGGAGCTAGAACTCCAACTGGAACTGGAACTCTGACTGGCACTCCAACTCTGACTTTTTGGGCTCTTCAACCCCTTTTAATGACTTTGATTCTTATCCCTTCCATAACTTCTCATGAATCTGATTGGTCTTTAATTCCCTTTCTCAATGATCATTTAACAAATCAGAGTACTAACAATTATCTATCTGTTGTTGCATACCTGAGTCTTCCAATTCTGTACCTGAAACCTCGCGAGTACTGCTAGTCTCGAGGAGCTTCAGGTTTATCTTTTATTCCAAGACATAATAAAGGATTGGTATGACAAATTCCTTAAGAACATAATACCTGATAGAAATAATAAGCGTAACATCTTTCCGGTCGAATAAGTGATAACGTAATTAAAGATTCCAATAATATAACAGAATATAAAACAAGACAAAAGTATAAATCAATAAAATTAATTATATCAAACGATTAATCGACATATGTGTGTGTATAATGTCTGTATAGGTCAGGGTATAACGATAATAATATGGTTGGCCATGGGTATAAGTGGCTGTCTATATGTATGGGTTAACTAGTATCGTATATTGGAGGGCTGAGACGTAACAATATATATATATCTTTATACAATATCATTAAATAAGATGATTTGAAATAATTTGACTGTTATTTCAGCCCTGAAAACAATTTATTTGGATCACTCTACGATTTCAATTTACTTCTCGAAGAGAGATCAGATTTTTTCCAGATATACCATGTATTTCGCTTCATCATATACATACACATATTTTTCGAAACTTACCACCACCAACGGCCGTCTTCTTTCAATAAGGAGGAAGACCGAGGAGGGCTCTTATTGAAAAGATGACTTCCCCTCCCCAATCTTCCTCCTCAAAAACAGTCCAGCAATTTAGTTGACGACGCTGTCGTCGAGCCTCGCGCAAATTAATCATATTTTGGATATTAATATATCCTCTGAGCTAAAATAAATTGAAAAAATTAATTAAGACTCTCCGATCACCATTACCTAGCACACACTGGAAACTACACTTACAATTACAAGAATTTGCGATTTCACTATTTTCAAAGACACAGACATCGTTGCATTAGGACATCATGGTACAGTGTTGTAAGCTGTTGATTTATATGCTTTTCAACATAAACAAATTTAGAGTTTACATACGTGAATATGTCCATGTTGGTAGTATCGATTGATGTCTTCTTTGCAAATGTTCCATCTGCTCGACTGTCCACTATGAAAAGCTTTGGATGTTCAGTTTCAATCAAGGTGTAACCACAGATCTTACGTTCCCCTCTTTTTGCCAAAGCAAAGGTGAAGTCCTCTTGATTCAATGTGTAGATTTCCTTGTATCGGCTGACAGTAGTGGAATTATTTTGGAGAAGTGTTGCTCTACCTTCAAAAAGTACTGTATAGCGTTTATAGTGACAATCGTCGTTTGGTATAGGGGTCCAAAACGAATTTCCCATTTCATCATCTGGACAAGCTGCAGCTGTGAGCGTGCATGTTTTACCAGAAGGCATGCTAATGGTATTAGCATTTAATTTCACGATAGCATAGAAATTGTATAGTGATATTTTAACTGTGCCTTGAACTACGACATCAGACCATGATCCATAAGGATCGGAATATTGAATACCCTGGCAAGATCCATCTGTTTTGATTGTACCGGCAAAAATTATTGGACGCGTTGATGTTCCATTTAAAGACAATCCTGTGATGTAATTATTTGAAGAAATGTGGTAAGCTCTTGTTCGATGTATTTTATGACATTCTTCACGTGAAATTTCGTGTAGATATTGCATTTTCCCTAAGGCGACTGCAGAAATGTGAGAATGCATACCACAATGTAACACATCGCGATCTATTACTATCTTGCATTCTATTACTTCAGTCGTAGTAAAGTCGGTCAATTGTAAGAGTTGTATATCGACATTTTGGATTTTTGGTTGGACGGGAGGAATGTCGCATTCTCCTATTTTTAATAGTGACAACGTAGTAATGTTGAGATTGTTCCCTTTGCAGTCGTAAGCTATGAGGGCTTGGACAATCCCAATTGAGAAAAGTATGATCTTGATGGTGATGCATTTTGAAACTGCCATCAAATAATCCAATTTGGTTGACCCGCTTCTCCCCCTTAAAATAATTTGATATAATATACTACCTTTCAGAGAAGGTAAGTATTTAACGCTTTAAGATAGGTCAGGTCAATGTTTGTGAAAGGGATCTTGAGTGGTATGTATTATGTCTTCATGCAGAGTAAGGTATGATATAGGACGGGTATTCGTTGTAACCACTTATCTTTATTTTTAAA